GTTACTTAAGCAGAATACATTTGAGGAGACTTAAATTGGCATAGGCCAAGACCCACATTAAAGGTTTTTTACAAATAGAATGGTGGTTTGTGCAAATTCTGAATGTAAAGCCATTTGAGCAAGGGCTAATTTGAAGTTTGCCACTGAAATTTATAAATCCTTTGGTAGGAAATTGATAACATTCCAACAATGCCCTATAAGAAATATTCTAATTACTAACAACACTAATGAATAAAAACTTTATTAGCACCCTTACATTCTTATTTATATGATTAACCTTAGGATTAACTACATAAAACTAACTCAAAAGAATATTTCAAGTATTCCTACTTATTTATTAAAATGGGCCCTATGAAAGATCTGACTCTTAGATTCTAGATTAAACCGGGTCGAGTCCCTGAAAGAGCCTTCTATAAAGCTGTGACTCCCTATTCACTTCTCTATGACTGATAATTTTACCATCCTTCCTTTCCATTTGCCCTAACCTTCTTAGAGCAACAAAGTTTTATCTTCAAATAGTTACCAACTAAACATTGATACTGTTGTTAGCTGAACAATAATATGTCTACTAAATATTAGATTTTTTAAGCTTGGTTTAGTTGGAAATAGCAATGTGCCATTAAAAATACTTTGTAATTCAAATAGCCATTAATTTGTATTGCTGCCTATCCTTTAGTTAATAACTAGTTAGCTTTTTTAATGCTAAAGATTAAAAAAAATCCCAATTTTAATTTTAAAGGCAAATAAACCTTTCTTTAATTTGTAATTTTTTAACTTAGAAAAGAAGCATGGCTTCTAGATTTTGGAAATATTACACCATCTATGTTTACTAAGGTAGCCCACTTTGTTCTGCAAATTCAACCCATATTTTCAGTGCTTGAAGAGGGTTTGATTCAGAAGGAAGAGTGGGATTTCAGTCAGAGCAGAAGAAACACCTGCTGTTAATCCCAAGTGCACAAGTCGGGGGCTGGAGTGTCCGAAGCCGCCGCTGCAGCTGTGCGTGGAGGTTGACCTCGGCTTTGCTTCTGTCCTAAGCTGGCAGGTGCCAGGACGCCATGCTGTCTGCTCAGAAACACTCTCTTTTGAGGCAGCAATATTTATTGCTCCATTGTGAATTCAAATTTTCATGTGTTCATGAGTTAAACATCCTTGCTCAGGGCAAGCTGGCTAAAGAGTTCTAGTTGACACGTGGATTTGGCATGAGTAATTGGACTTTGAGGAAAAGGGTTTTCTCTGTTTCTCATTGTCAAATAACTTCACAAAAACTTTGTCATTAAAGATGCTGTGTAACCTAACAAGGTGCCTTTAGAGGACTGGTAGGTACTATGAGGGATGTGGCCTCTGAAATCTCACTGGCAAAAGGAAACAAAAGTTTCAAGAGAACCTGGAAAGGAGGTGGATATAGAGGCTGGGGCAGCATCCATAGCAACAGTTGATCTTGTTGTAGCTGGATTTTCTAGAGGTCATTGGTTCTTAATGCTAGTATGTGGAAACTGTTTGCCTTCAGCACTAGGCTATTTAGCTTCTCAGGTACAGGGACCATTTCTTTCTAAATCAGCTTTTCCCACCATATATGTCCTACCAGTGCTTACAATGTTGCCATGCTCTATGCACATTCAACAAATGAGTGTAAAAATCAAAATAAAGTTAACTAACATGCTACTTAAATCAAGACTGGAACCTCGATTGTATTTTTAAAATTTGGTGATAGATATCCTCTCATTATTCTTTACTTTGGCTTTCATCTGCCCCACCACAAATAAAAGCCTACTTGAATAACCTTAGCAAACATTTTGCATGTGTTAAAAATAATTGAATAAAGTCTTCAAACTTAATTTTCTGGATTGTACTCACTAATCATTACTTGATTCACTGAAAACAATGAAAACATTAAACATTTATTGAAAACAAAAATATTTTTTTCTCTTTCTTCTTTTAAATAGCAAAATGATTTGTGGGGTAAGAGATAAAAAGGTTTTATAAAGCTGATTCCATCATCTTGGTGCCCCCAAACCCCCACTCCTCCTCAATTCCTCTTTCTCTCATTTTGAACTTAAGACGTTGGGACCAGTGTCTATGACACTGTGGAAATGTAGTGGGGAAGCATTTTAGATGGCCCTTGTTGAAGGCAGGCACCAGAGAGGTATCCCTCTTTCTGAGAATCTAGTTCCAGAGCTGTATTCCAATACTTTGTGTCAAAACCTCTACATTTAAAGTCACACATACTGGGTTGAAGTCCTGGCTAACTCACAAGAAGCCTAATACTGATAATCTTTGAGTTTCATTTTTGGCATCTATGAAAGGATTATCATAATACTTTCCTTATTGGATTACGGAAAAGATTGAATGCAACAGGTGAAAAAGTTTTGTTGTCAATGGTAAAAGATACAAAGTATAGGGCATGATGTGGTTATTACTGATTTTATGATAATTTCACAGCTGTTACCAGAGGGCCACACTTAGAATGGGAATCTGGTGCAGTTCTCTGTAGCTGGTACTTAGCAGAAGGAAATGTTTTAGAAGCTGGAGCATTGGTACATTCCCACCTGCAGTGACGCAGCAGTCTGGATGGGGTGCTGTGCTAGAACCTGGGCCTGTTTCCTGTCTAGCCTTGTCCTTGTTCCCCAGCCCTGCTGAAAATGGAGATCTGAGCCGGGCGCGGTGGCTCAAGCCTGTAATCCCAGCACTTTGGGAGGCCGAGGCGGGTGGATCACAAGGTCGAGAAATTGAGACCATCCCGGTCAACATGGTGAAACCCCGTCTCTACTAAAAATACAAAAAATTAGCTGGGCATGGTGGCGTGTGCCTGTAATCCCAGCTACTCAGGAGGCTGAGGCAGGAGAATTGCCTGAACCCAGGAGGCGGAGATTGCAGTGAGCTGAGATCACACCATTGCACTCCAGCCTGGGTAACAAGAGCGAAACTCCGTCTCAAAAAAAGAAAAGAAAAAAAAAAAAAAAAAAAAGGAAAATGGAGATCAGAGATAGAAAGTGACTCTAAAATGCTCCAACTCCTCAAGTGGACACATGACTTTATCTTTAAGAGCTAGAAAAGATAACATAATCACTGCCTCTAGAATTAGTATTTTCTGCTAGTATTTCTGTTTGAAGGTAAAGAAACTCTTCAATGAGGCTCAGCTATCTAGCTGCCCCCCAAAATAGAAATTCCTGTAAAGAGACACATATATAGGGTCACTTAACTTACTACAAAGGTAATAATGTATACAATGGGGAAAAGATACATTTTCAAGAAATGTTGTTTGGTTAATTTGATATCCACATTTATAAAAAGCATCTTGACTTTTAACTTAACTTACATCATTTACAAAGTCAATTCTTAATAAATTCAGATTTAAATATGAAAGATAAAATAATAAAGCTTTTAGCTTTTAAAATAAACATAAAAAGCCCTTTTTATGACATTGAAGTAGACAAAGATTTCTTCAGTAGAATATAAAAAGGGACAACTATAAAGAATAAAAGGCATTAAATTGAGGTTTCTTAAAATTAAGAACTCAGAGGTATTCATCAAAAACACCTCTAAGAGAATGTAAAGAGGGTAAACAAAGTGGGAAAATACATTTACAGTAAATATGTCTGACAAAAGACTCATTCAAAAATATATAAATAACTCTACATCTACCTATATACATATGTACAATGTGTAATATACAATAGATAAAGAACTCTAGCAAATCAACAGGACAATTCAGTAAGCCAAGGGCAAAAGATATAAAGAGACACTTTTTGAAAAAGGATGCAAAAGGGCTAATACATGTATTAAAAGGGGGTTCAATTTACTAATCACTGGGGAAATACATATTAAAACATGATGTGAAATTACCACATCCCTACGAGAATGCCTAAAATTAAAAAGATAGAAAATATCAAATATTGGTGATATGGGGCAATTTAATTCCATACGTTGCTGATGTGGCTTAAATTGTAAGAATCGCTTTGAAAAACCATTTGGCATCATCTACTAAAACTGAGCATATGTATAATCTACAACCTAACAGTTCCATTTCTCGATATACATCCAACAGAAATGCATGTAATTTTTCACAAAGGACATGAATTACTTTGTTCATAGCACTTTTTTTTTTTTTTTTTTTTGAGAGTCTTGCTCTGTTGCCCAGGCTGTAGTGTAGTGGTATAATCTCAGCTCGCTGCAACCTCTGCCTCCTGGGTTCAAGTGATTCTCCTGTCTCAGCCTCTCAAGTAGCTGGGATCACAGGTGTCCACTACCACACCCAGCTAATTTTTGTATTTTTAGTAGAGATGGGGTTTCACCATGTTGGCCAGGCTGATGTTGAACTCCTGACCTTAGGTGATCCACTCACCTTGGCCTCCCAAAGTGCTGGGATTACAGGCATGAGCCACTGTGCCTGGCCATAGCAGTATTTTTATAATAGCCAAACCTAGAAAACTCCTGGAAACAAATGGCTGTCAATAGTAGAATGAATAAATAAATGATGATATATTCATACAATGGAGTATTATAAAGCAGTAAGAGCAATCTACAACTACACCCAAAATTATGGATGAATTTCACACTAATTAAGCAAAAGAGGCCAGACTCTATGAGTTTATGTCCATAAAGTACAAAAACAGGCAAGCTAATCTATATTGTCAGAGGTCAGAATAGAAGTTACTGTTGGTAGAGGGTAGTGACAAGGAAATATCCCAACAGGAGCTTCTAACTTGCGGGTAATGTTTGGTTTCTTTAACTGGGTTCTACTTGCATACATATGTTGAATTTGTGAAAATTTATTTAGCATATTATGTACTTATGATATATGCAGGTATATATGCACAAACATACATGGTTATATGTTTCACATTTGAATATAATTATAGTATAGAAACTAAAATTTCTTGAGAAACCTCATTGACAGCTATCTATGTATTCTTTGAATGAATCTTTCCATTAATGTGGCTGATCTATTCAGTTTACAGTACCTTGTTTTTAATTAAAATTTTTTTCTCTTTTTTTTTCAGGGCCCTCCTGGTCCTAAAGGTGACAAGGTAAGAAAATGCATAGCAGAAATAAATAAAGTTAGTGGACATCCATATTGGCATGAGCTATACTGTATTACATTTTGATCTTTTTAAGGAACCTTATGTGTACATTTTAGCTAAAATTGTCATCTCACTGTTCTATTCTACAGGGAGAACAAGGTGATCAGGGACCTCGGGTAAGTTGTGCTCTACCTATCCTGGGCAGAAAGTTAGTTTCTAAATCCAAGTTTATTGAATGAAAGTAGCCTAGCTTCATAATTGCCTTTGTTCCATATGATTCGGTAATGGCTGGCAAAAATACCATACCTCTTGTAAGTGAAAACAGCTAATTAACTAATTGCATGTATTCTGTTGCAGTATCTTTACTTGATGCCTATAAATAGAAAATTCTGCAATAATTAGACATATTGAGTAAGGGTCAGAATCACTTCCAATTATCAACAGCAGCCACCTTTCCAGTGACTATTGGGTCTTTCAGATTTGTATGAATTGTTTTGCAATATAGAGGCCATATGGATTTCTATTGAATTTGGCCTTTTGCTACAGTTAAACGTTATGTATTCCTTCATAAATATGTTTTTTATAGATAAAATTATCAATGCATTTTACATATATGTTCTTTGGCCTAAGTTTGAATAATACTTATTTGAATTTCTAGTTTTTATAGATTTTTAAGCAGATGAAAGGTGTAATACAATTTAGCATTTCGGGGTGGAGAGAGCATTCTTTTAAGCTTCTCAGATATGGCCCTTGTAACCATTATAACACAATGGTGAATGCTTTGTTGTTACCTTGGTAGTGCCAAGTCCTCTACTTCACATCTGTGCCTTATTACCCAAGTGTTCAGACATACTGTTTCAATGATGTAGTGGCTCCGTTCAACATACCTCTCAATTTTCTCATGTCACTATGCACAAAAGCAAGTATTCGGTTGAATAGAGTAATTTTTTTACAGTGTAAAGGCTTATTTAAAACTTTCAGGTTGAAAACAGAAACTATGTAGGTCTTTCTGTGAAGCTCACTGTACTTAGTTACTTATTAAATGCATTTATACTGCATAGAGATATTTTTGCAAAAGACGCAGTTGATGCAAACTTGAAAGGTTTGTAGTCGTATTATCTCCTCATGTTTCTTAGAGAAAAGTTATGCTATGATTTCTTATACTTTCCCTTTTGTTCTTCAGCCACTTCTTCATGTGGAAATAGTGATTATGCTTCACAGCATTTTGTTTCTTATGGCAGTTACTCTGGCCGATGACTAGCTTCAAGCTGAAAGCTCATTTTAGGAGATTAAACATGACATTATCTATTGTCATGGATGTGAATAAAATAGGACTCTCTTAACCTTAAGTGATTAGAATACAGCCATTTGCTCTATACGTGGTGATTATTTCACATGATATGTCTCTCATATCGAGTATCATTTCTTTCTACACGCAATATCAAAATCACTCAGTTTACTCTTTCCAGGTAAGAGGGAAACTGTTTCCATTCTGAGAAATCTTCTTTTGGCAAAGGAAGTAAAGGGTGGTTCACAGCTTAGCTGTCATCAGTATGCATGCAGTCCTCATTTTCAGAAAGGTGTGTTGGCTTTCATCATTACAAAGAGTGATGATTGATTATAAAGCTAGGCCAAATTTTCAAGATGAAACCTGAAACCCTCTGAAATTCACCTGGTTTCGTGTTGCATTACAAACTAAGACTTGGACCAGTTTCCTTGAAAGTTTGGCCAAAGTTCATGAACTACTTTGACAAACCCAGACTGCCTTTCATACAGATTTCAGCCAGTTTTCACACTGAATGGGGCCAAGTTTCACTCAGTTCAGAGCCCATTTAGCATTTCAGGTGGAAAGTGGCAAAAACTGATCTCATTTTTCTCTGTATTTTGCTTGGTATTGAAGGAATTTGGATTGAATTCCTAACGAAGGATGAATCTTCATGGGTATGAATCTAAATGTCCTGGAAGGTGTAGGTGAAAGAGAATGAGAACCCACTTACTGGCCTGTCTTTTCTCAGATTCCTAGCAGGTCTCACCCAGTGCTCTTAGAATTTTATAAACATTACCATCAAGTAACATAGTATTAGCTACAAATTAGGAACTTCATCATATCAAGATCGTAAGATGAAGGTTCTATATTTCAAAAAAATCAAAAGTAAGAACTGGAAATACCTCCAATTTCAATGAAAATTAATTTTACCCACATTCTCTATTTAGGCACAGTGTTTTAGCTGTTGATGACCAAAGGCTCTTTTTTTCAAATGTAGATTTTTGTATTTGAATACCCTGTCCATTTTCATCCTATTGCAGATTTTTAATTATACTTTTTTACCATGCTTCCAATCATTTATTTCTTTCCATGATTAACAATATGAACTCCAAACTCCATCATGTCAGCTCTTAGTTAGGTGAATTTCCGTTATGAGACCTATACCATTTCCTCGAATATTTGGAGGTTTTATCTCTTTGACTCCCCAAGTGTCCAGTGGGAATAAAATTAAGCCATAAGAGGTAAATCAAAGCAGGAAAAACTTGAAGATCATACAGAAATTAAGAATGTGAGACTATTTTTAAGTACTTGGACATACATTCAGCAGTATATATTGAACAGCTACCATCTTTACGATACTGTGCTTAACCCTATAGACACAATAAATGTGTCCACTTAATTCTGTCTTCTCCTAACCACCAAATTCAACCTACTTTCATGTTCTTGATTACTCCAGTGGTTTTCCAATTAATCTTTGTATTTCCACTCTTAACCCTGTATAGCCCTACACAGCAGGCAGAGAGATCACTTTGCATTGTAAACTAGATCATGTTACTTCTGTGTAAAACATTAGAATGAAATCCAATCTACTGTGCTGAGCTCTTGCCCATCCCTCCCAGCTCATCTCACACTCGTCTCCTCTCCACCAACGACAGTCCGGCCACACTGTCCTCCATGTGATCTTCAGACACATCACACTTTCACCCAACTCAGTAACTTCTCATTTACCCTCTTCTGGTCTTCTTGTGATTGGATTCTTCTCATCATTGAGATTTCATCTCAAATATCACCTCCTCTGAGAGAACTTCTCTAACTACTCAATCTAAACCAGAGATTATTCTGTCTTGTTCATGTATTTACTTGCTCATTATCTATAAAATATGTCCCTCCCTCCTTAGATCCTATATTCCGTGAAAGCAAGGTTCTGCTCTGTCTTGTTCGTAGCACCTTCACGTGGAATAGTGAAGATTCAATAAATATTTGTTGAATGTATGATAAAATATTATTATATCATTATGGCTTTCAAGAAGCTGATAATTTCATGAGTACTGGAATAAGAAAACTGTGTGGTTATATGTTATCTGCCTCAAATAGATATACCAAGAGGTGCTAGAAAAGTGAAATTCTTTCATTTTAAATGAGCACTGGCAACTGTGGAAGAGGTGACAGTTGAACTAGGACTTGATAAATGGGTAATCTTTAGAGGATATGGTGAAGAGCAAGATACTACACATTCCAGGAAGAGGAACTAGTATAAACAATATTATCCAAGTAGACAATGGCAGGATTTAGTTAAGAAACAATAATATTCCATTTGTGATTAAAGAAAATGTGGTATATACAATGCAATACTATTTAGCCTTAAAAAGAAGGAATTCTTCTCATTTGCAACAACCTGGATGAACGCGAATAATATTATGTTAAGTAAAATAAGGCAGGCACAGAAAGATAAATAACAGCATGATCTCACTTACATGTGGAATTTTTGAAAGTTGAATACATAGGAGGAGAGCATTTAATGATGGTGACCCAGGGCTGGTGGGGAAGGGTTTTGGGAGATGTTAGTCAAAGGATACAAACTTTCGGTTAGATAAGAGGAATAAGTTCAAGAGGTCTGCTGTACAGCATGGTGACCACAGTTAATAACAATATATTGTATTCTTGAAAATTGCTGAGAGTACATTGTGTTCTCACCAAAAAAGATAAGAATGTGAGGTAATACAAATGTTAATTCACCTGATATAGCCATTCCATGATGTATACATATTTCAAAACAACATATATATATATAACAAAATATGTATAATTTGTATTTGTCAATTAAAAGTAAGTTTTAAGGCTGGGTGCAGTGGCTCATGCCTGTAATCCCAGCGCTTTGGAAGGCCAAGGCAGGCAGATCATATGATCAGGAGATTGAGACCGTCTGACCATGGTGAAACCCCATCTCTACTAAAAAGTACAAAAAATTAGCTGGATGTAGTAGCACATACCTGTAGTCCCAGCTACTCGGGAGACTGAGACAGCAGAATTGCTTGTATCTTGGAGAGGGAGGTTGCATTGAGCCGACATTCTGCCACTGCACTCCAGCCTGGTGAAAGAGCAAGACTCCATCTCAAAAGAAAGAGTAAGTTTTAAAAAAGACCCTCAAAAATAATATTCCATTTGCCAATAAATAGGTTAAGTAAAAAATTGTGTCGTAGAGACTGAAAATTTCGGATTGAAGTTATATTATGGAGCATTTTGAATGTCTAGTTTGGTAGACATTAGAGAGCCATTGAAAAGTTTGAGTAATCTCTGCTTATCTTATTTTGAGACTATCTGTACTTTTTACCAAATGTGCTTTATAAAAATATTTTTGAAGCTGGACATGGTGGCTCACAGCTATAATCCTAGCACTTTGGGAGGCTGAAGTGGGCGGATCACCTGAGGTTAGGAGTTCGAGACCAACCTGGCCAACATGGTGAAACCCTGTCTCCACTTAAAATACAAAGATTAGCCAGGTGTGGTGATGGGTGCCTGTAATCCCAGCTACTCGGGAGGCTGAGGCAAGACAATCACTTGAACCTGGGAGGCAAGGGTTGTGGTGAACTGAGATTGCACCATTGCACTCCAGGCTGGGCGACAGACAGAGTGAGACTCAGGCTCAAAAAAAAAAAAAAACATATATATTTTTTGAATTTATATATATACATATATGTGTATATGTATATATATTATATTTATACATATATATGCATATATATATGTATATTTGGTGGTAGTATCCACTATAGAATAGAATTGGAGGAGACTGAAAGCAGCGTGACCAAATAGACCAAATAGACTATGTCACTTACTTAGGACAAGGTCATAAGAATCTAAGGTGTAAGGAAAATGTCCAGTCCTCAGTGGAGAGAGAAGCAGAAAGGA